CAGGGCCAAAGGATAGTACAATATCCGTGTAGCCACCTAACTCTCTGCTCAACTCCAACCTGCCTTCCACAATGCCATAGCTACTGCCTTCAGCTCTGTCTGTGCCCCTGGCACCATGCAGAGCACCAGAAGCGCCAGGGCAGCTAGCAGAGACCCCGCTCGGAATTTTCCCTGGAGGGAGCTGCAGACTGCTCCTGCTAGCAGGATCTCTAGCTGCCAGTCTCCAAGTCATGGGAGCTGCCTGGCACCCGTGGTATGGCCACCTTGCTGCCTGCCCACTGCTCCCTGCTTGGCTCCAGGTCTCGCAGCTAGAAGGTGGTCCAACAAAACACACCATCTGTTTGTGGCCTTGGCAGGAGCCTCTTCTCCCACCCGCTCTGCCTCCATCTTCCTGCTCCACTGGGAAGCCCCAGCACGTCCGTAATTACCCGCCTGGCATTGCGCATGTTCTCAGGGTTGTCCTTCACTGTGATGGTGAGCCTGTATTCGGCCACCCGCTCCCTGTCCAAGGGGCGGTTCACATAGATGATGCCAGTCTGTCAAGAGAAAAGGAGGAGATGCATTAAATGGAAGGGAGGTGTGCTTCCTCCTAGCTGTCTTGCTGGTGCCCTGCCTTCCTCCTTGTTCCTTGTGCTCCATTTCCACCCAGACTAGGCAAAGCCACACTAGGCCAGCACCTGGGGGCTTCTTGTATGCAAGGCAGCATGCAAAACATGTGCACATGCGGGTGAAGATGGGTGCTGTGCCTGGGCACTGTGACCACCATCCACCTCTGCGCTTGCCCAGCCTCTGGTGTGCGGGAGAGCCCTAACCCCCAGCTGACATACGGTGCTGTTGATGTAAAAGGCCTTCTCCGCGTTGCCGGAGGTGATGTCGAAGGTCAGGAGAGCGTTGGGCCCCTGATCTGCATCCCGGGCGAGGATGTGGGTGACGAAGCTGGAGACAGGGGCATTCTCGCTGAGGGTGAGGTTCATGGGGAGGTTGAGGAGCACGGGGTCATTATCGTTGATGTCCAGCACACGCACGCCCACCATCATCTGGAGAGGAGAGAGGCAATCTGGCACCTGGCATGAAACGTTGAGGCCCAGCCCTCCCGTGTTTTTCGCATGCAAGAGCTCAAGGAGGGGAGGATAAGGGAGAGGAGGCACCAAGGCGTTGGGAGGAGACGGAGAACAGGTCCCAGGGGTGTCCCTGCCCCGGGGGGAGCTCACCGTGGAGCTGAGCGGCGGCACCCCCCTGTCACGGGCGGCAATGGTGAGGTTGTAGAAGGGGATGTTCTCGCGGTCCAGCTCAGCATCCTTCCGCACCCGCAGCTCCCCTTCCACGGGCGAGATCACAAACTCCCCTGGCGGAGCGCAGAGAACAGGCGGAGAGGGCTGTCACCAGGCCCACTCCATGGGGTGCCTGCCTAGAGCAAGAGACCACGGCCACTGCCATGGTCCTGAGCTTGTGGCCTTGGGCCACTTCAAAGCCTTACTGGACCCAAGAGCTGATCTTCCAATGAGTACCAGCGGGCATAGGGTTGTTTGGTTGACCAGCCCAAGAGATGTTGGGACAACAGCCTTGCCAGCACCTCCTGGGCCCTGGGAATTGCCCGGGCTGCACGGCAAGCCAAGGGACCGCATCCAGGCTGTTGGGGCTCTGCAGCCCGGGGCAGCTGGTAGACAGGACAGGGCTCCAGCAGCCAGAAACCCTTGGCTGGAGTCACCGGAGCCGAGACAGCCCCCGTCTGCTGAAGGACAGCTGTGCCCCGTCCTGGCAGATGCAGCACGCAAGAGATGCCCAGCGCTGCCTCTCCATCTGCTCCAGAGCACCGTGGGTTGCGGGCTTGGCCCGGAGCTGCAGAGACATGCGGTCCTGCGCTGCACCCGGCCACGCACTTGCCTTTCTTGGTTTCTCTTTCTGCCTTTTTTTTTTTCCTTTATTTTATTGCCTTTGTTTTTAAACAGATTCCCCCCGCCCAGGGCTGTGGTTCCTTGTGCAAGTCCCTCTTGCCGGCCACTCACGGGTTAAAGTTTCCTGTTGCTCAAAACAGGATTTCCTGGTGTTGAAAGCCTGAACTGGCAGGAGCACTGGGCTGGGAGGACGGCTCTTCTGCAACGCTTCCGCCAGCGCCCCTCAGCCGCTGCCCCCCAACCCCCTCCCTGGCCCACGGCCG